TTAAAAAAAACAAATTATATAAGCAAGTTTTTACTATATTTAACTTATAGAACTAGACTAGATGATGCCCCATGCACTGTGTGTTTCTTACTATAAAAATTGCTAATATCTTAAAATTTTACTATAGTAACCCCTATTGCATAACTAATAAAAAATATTCCTCTCACAATTTTAGTTTAAAAAAACACTAACTCTAACCTTAACCCTAACCCTAATGTTAGTTTTTATCTTTGTTCATTATCAAAACTTAGAGAGGCACAAAGTGCATGGAGGCACTATTTAGATTTTACCTTATATAATAACAATTTTTTTTTTTTTTTTTTTAAGCAGTCTTGCTTTTATTTATTTGAACTACTATGTAACTAATATACATTTGTACAAAGTTTCTATAGTATAATGTTCTAGTCTAATAAAAACTCACCAAGCACTATGCCCAGTGCGACCTGCCAAAACAACAATTCACCTCCCTCAGGATCCTTAACTTTCTAAGAATTTTGTACCATGACAGTACCCCCTTGGTCGACAGTTGGCTGTTGTCTGCCATATCAAGCATGCTTAAAAATTAGATTTGATTTTAGCTAGCAAAGACCATGCTGGTTTGTTACCCCAAACAACCCATTCTTCAATTATTTTTTCCTTTTCTTTAAGAACTTCAAGTCTCGCTTCTTTTGTGCCGGTATTTGCTTTTTTCCTCTTTTCACTTCTTTCCTCAGCTTGTGGGTCAGTGTTTTCCTTGTCGGGGTCATTTCTTTCATCCGCTTTTCTTTTACACTTTTTACCTTGTTTTTCTTTCTTGGATATCTCCATTGTTCTTTCCCAATTTGACACTATTTTGTATCGGAAGTTCCATATATGCTTTCAGAATTGTGTTTTGATCTTGTTAATAAAGCCTAAATAAGTTTGAAGGTATTCTTTCTTTCGCTTAGTAACGAACTAATCTTTTCTGCTCTCTCTTTTGTTATAAGCTCTTTTATTAACTCTATTCTAGTCACGATTCTTTCTTGTAGGTCCTCCCCAAAGATTATTTCTGTAATCTCTTGTATTTTTGTTGTTGTGAGCTTTATTTTCTCCTTTACTGCTTTCTTAACAATGAACTTGCTTTCTTCTCTTTCTATAATCCTTCACAACTGTTGGTACTTAGAGCATTTGGCAAAATGCTCTTGTGTCTCAGTCTCCAGATAATATATTCTGCACGTGTCATCCAGGTAAAGACTTGCTTTTCTCTGATGTAGAACTTGCATTATCGGCAGGAGATCACTTAGGCACTTTATTTTGAATACCTATTCTTTGTGGCTCTCTGTACTTTTACACCTGCTGCCTTTAACTTTACTTATATCTGTTGCATCTAAAGTAGCGATTTATCTAAAGTAGCTACTTTAGAAATATAAAGTAGCGTCTGACTAAAATTAGGCCCTGAAATTAGATCTTCATGCATACACTAAATCGTAATTCTAGCCCAGGGCTACTTTAGATAGGGTGGCTACTTTAGATACAACAGCGGCATACAAATTGCATGGGCACAATTTTTGATCTGGCCCAAATACTAGATCTTCTAATAGTGTTGTTGGCTTGGATAGCTTAGCTTAGCTCAAAAAAGCCATAGCCAAGCTATAACTAAGCCATGGTTTAAGCTGCTAGCTATAATTAAAGCCAGAATCAATAGTGATAGTTATTTTTTTATAACTAAACAATTTTTAAACTATAGCTCAAGCTATAGTTTAAACTAGTGTTTTGCACAGTCCAGTTTGGTCTGGGCTTTGTACAAAACCGAGCTCGAATCGAAACTTCAATTCGATTCATTTCCCAAACCTGAAACCGTATCATCAAAACTGAAACCCAACCCGGGACCCAATTATTGTATATAAAATAGTTTTACCGAAAAATCATTTAAAATGGTATTTCATAACAGGGATCAATGCAATTTTTTTTTTAGTATAGATACTTTCATGTATATATGTAATTTGTGCAAAGAGATTGAACCAGATTTTATGCACTCAATCAAAATTAACATGGAGCTTAAGTCTTTATTTTTTACAATAATAATGTAATATCACCACTGCAAATCAATATCTATGATGAGATTTTTTTTATAGACACTCAAATGCCTAAGCAAAAAAAAAAAAAATTTAATGTATTTCTTATATTAGCAGATTTTGAAAATAATAAAATATTGTACCTTATGTAGTGCTCGGCACAATCAAACAAAAATTTGACAGTAAAATACTTGTTAATACTTATGTTTAAATCGGATGTCAAACGATTGCAGATTAACCAAAGCTAAATATATACTATTGGTTAATCTGCAATCATTTGATGTCCGACTTAATCACAAGTATTAACAAGTATTTGACTGTCAAATTTTTGTTTGATTGTGCCGAGCACTAACCTTATGTTTTCTATTTTGATTTCAACCTTCAACTTTAATAATATGTGTTGATTGATTCAATACCAATTCCAAATTCATAATAATATCTAGCTAGAACCTGTTTTGCAGATTTTTGATAAAAGAATATTTTGTGATCTTTTTTTTTTTCTTTTTTTTTTTGAGCCATTCAAATAAAACTTATGCAAAAAAATAGAAGCAGCAGAATTCAAAAATAATAAAATGTCCTGGATTTTAACCCTCTCAATTTTTGATCGATTTTAATATCAATTCCAAGTTTGTAATAACATCTAGCTAGATCCCTGATTTTTGATAAAAGAATATCTTGGCTCATTTTTTTTCATTTTCATTTTTTTTATTTTTTTTTTTGTTTTTTTATTTTTATTTTTTTTTTTATCTTTTCATTTTTTTTGGTTCCCGTTTTGCAGATTTTTGATAATAAAAGAATACCTTGTGCTTATTTTTTTGACCCATCATGATTATTCAGAAAAAAAAAAGGTAAGAATAAAAATAATATTTTTATTCAAGTTTACAAGTCCAATTAATTTTGCTCATTCTGAAATCCTCTCCACTATGACCTTAGGCACATTGCTGATCTTACTGTTTTTTACATAGTCAGTTCTGCTTGTTAGTAATCATATCCCTGCTAATACTAAATACGTGTTCACTTGGAACACTTGTTGCGGGAACTGAAAAGCAGTCTTGTACAAATTTTGCCAAATTCAGATAACTAGCTTCATTTGTTTACTACTATTCTAATATATCAACACCTAAATTTACACATAGTGTAACTAAATATGCATCTAATTCATTTTGCTAATTTGCATATGTTTGTTTAAAAATTCAGGTCATCATCATGAATTGTGTGGTGGTTTTACAAGATGTGTTTTAATCAGGAAAAGGTGTATATTTATCTTTATACTTATTTTTGACAATATCTTTAATTCTACTAATAAGCTGTGATGGCTAGTTAAGCGATTCAAAATATCGAAACTTAAGCTATGGATTTAATATTACAGATGAGAGATATAACACACTTGTTTTATTGCAATAGCTTATAAGTTTTTCTTCTGCAGCTTCACAACCCCAAATTAGTCAATACAGTGCACTATTCTTTCTTTTAACTTCTCTAAGGTTTTAAACAGTATATAATACAAAGAAACAACCATAGTTAAAGTTAGGTATTCTAATGCTAACATAATTGTTACCGCATCTTTAAATGGTTCAAGAACCTCAACAATTTGCTTTATTTTTTCCCATTTCTCTTCTGATAAAACATATTGACACAAGTCCAGATCAGTAAGAGTTATGGTATCCAGTACAACTCTCAATACTATTGCTCGTTTACACATGCTATACGTGAAATTCTATCTGGTAGCAACATCAAGAATCGGTTTCAACTGATTTATGTCATGAACCAAACAAGTAGTTTTTAACATTTTACGATGCAATCATGATCCTCAGATACTTCTAATTAATTCTCATAACTTTTCAAGTTCATTTCTTATAACATTTAGTATATTATATACAGCAAGGTTTAGAACATGTCCAAAGCATCTTATAGATTGTTGTTGGCTATAAAACTAGAAACCAAGCCGCATCATAGAATTGAAGAAATCTTGCACAAATTTGATATTAGAAGATGCATTGTCATGTGTAACTGCTATTAGCTTTGATATAATGTTTATTGATTGAAGGCAATCTTCTATATTTTTAGCAATTTCAGAATCTCTGTGTGATCCATCCATATTTATAAAGTCTAGGAGAATACATTTTAATTTCCAAGATCTATTTATATAGTAGAGAGTAACTGCTATAAATAATTTATCATTTGTATCTGTCATCCATATATTGGTAGTCAGTGTTGTAAATTAGACATTTTTTAGATATTTTGGACATTTTTTCAAATTAAAATTACTTAAAATTTTATTAAAATAATCTATTCTAATTCTTTTAAAAATGAATCCAGCATCTAAAAAAATATATAATTATATATTTATTAAATTAATTTATTAATTATTTAAACCTTGAACATAGGCTTGGACAGTTTTGGACAATCTTGAACATTAGACAAAAAACATAGTTTGGACATGTTCAATGTACAACACTGTCAGTAGTAATAGAAAATTTTCCAGAAATTTTTCATAGCTTTTCTTAAAGATTATTATGTTCTTCCTCAAAATATGCTTTTTTACTAGGTCTGCAGAAGATGCAGTTGCTTTAGACTCTAAATATGTATATATATCCCTGAAACCTTCATCTTCAATGATGTTAAATGGATAGTTATATTTAACAATTCAATGTTTGACAAGAGTCTTAAATATTTTTAGATCAAATGGTTCATGAGGGCAGTTATTAATAGATTACTAACTTTTTAGCAAATCTACAACAGAGATATTTGCTTCTTTGTCATTTAATTCAGGCATCTTCTCTTTATGTATAGCAAGATGTCTTCGCATGCTTGATGTTAAATCATCAGCACATTTTATTGGTTTTTTGGAGTAACAAAAATTACACTTTGTGAAAGAACCATCCTTTTTCTTCTTGAAATATTTCTATACAAACGACCTAGCATATAAAGATTTGTTGCTAACAACTGACTTTAAGGTTCATTAACTTAGGAATTGTTATGAAAATTGTCTATTTTTATAGAGGAATCATCTATATTGTCATCTATAAGATAAGGGTCATCTATATAGATATCATCTATGTGATCATTAAAATCTTTCATATCTAAGCAACTAGAAAATATATATTTTTTTAAAAAAAAAAGATAGAAAAATTTATATTGTATAAAAATATTAATTCATACAATCTATTACAGAGAAAAGTAGATAAATATGCTTATATAGTACTATAGTTGGGGTTTAAAAAAAAAAATAACTAGTTGGTAAAAAAAAAAAAAAAAAAAAGCAAATAGCTGGTTTAGTTCTTTATCTAATAGGATCACTTGTAACTTTCACTATATTTAAAGTTTACCAATACGTATCTGCTAAGAGATGAAGAAAATAGTTCTATTGCTCTTGGTAGTAATATAACTGTTAAAATCTTACGGGTAAAAGAAATATGTTTAATGTACAAAGAATTTCTAAAAATCTCTACTGTATTATATCGATCATTAACATTCTATTCGTTCAAGGTCAGATGATTAATGTATGCAGGTTTATGCAAGTTAATCAGATACCCGTAATCTAAGACCCAGAATCGGCTAGTTCTAAAAATTGGGAACTGAACTCAATCTGAATAAGCGGGTTTGGGTCCAGGTTCAGGTTTTAGTTCGGTTTTGCAAAACACTAGTTTAAACTATTAGCTTGGCTTAACTTCAGCTTGGCTTCAAAATGTAACCAAAGCTGGTTTTAAGTAAAGCTGATGACATCACTATCTTCTAATTGAGTTTGGGCTGAGTTAGGTTTAAAAATATTTTTACCAGGCTTATGAAAGCCTGGCCTCAACCTGCCTGGACTCTATGGCTAACTGGATAATCCAAGTATTTTTAACAGCCTAATTTTGTATATGGATAATATTTTTATATGCAGGTGGATAATCTATAGTTTAAATTTATACTAAGTTGAATTTTTATTTATAGTAAAGCAATCTTGGGTCATGTGACCGGCTTTGAGCTGGCTTCGTCGGCTCAGCTCGGCTCAGCTAAAAAGCTATGGCTAAGCTGATGTACTATAAGCTAATTCCATCCCTACCAGGGTCTGAAAGTTTAGGAAAATAGATATTATTAGATATTAATAATTCTATTAATTACCTGTTTCATATTTGGTGACCTAGCTATCATTTTTTAAATAAAGATACTTGTATATTGAGGTCCATCAAGACATTTTCTATAATTAGAAGAAAAAAATTTAAATTGATTAATAAAAATTAATATTTAATAAATTATAACTTATAATCGACCTAAATTCTATCTGAATTTAGATCAATTATAAGTTAAATTTATAATATTAGTCATGGGACATGTCCCCTTGCAGGGGTTCAAAATTTAATTCATATGAAATTTTTAATGTCGATCATTTAATTTTAACATGAAAAATTTGCTTTTTCAATAGTTTCTTGTATAACAATCCCATTTTTGTAAAATGGTTTGCCCATCACTTTTTAAGTAAAAAATATACTTTCGATCTTCTTTTATTGATTTATAAAAATTTTAACTTTTAATTTCTTTTTGTTCGAGAAAGATCTTCAGTTGAAGTTTGAGTATGTTACCCCTGTAATATTACTTTAGAATAAATGATTTCGAATTTAACCTTAGTTTTTAAATTTTTTTTTTAAAAAACTAAAAGAAAATTTTTATTTTTGACTACAATCCAGCAAGGTTTTCACAACACAATTACAAATTTACGATTTTGTGAGTATATTTTTTCTATATTAAGCAAAGTTTTAGCTACATTTTTTTGAAGAAACTAACAGGAAATTTTTTTTATAGCAAGGTTTTTACATTGCTAACTTCATGTGATTATGGATTTCATGGATTATATAACCAGGTTTATAATTTTGTAGTAAGAATTAATACTTATAATTCTTTAATGTTTCATTACAAACTTCTCCAACTGCTAGCTACTAACTCTATTAACTATTAAAGATGTACTTCACGCGAGACAAACCTAGCGTCACTAGTCAAAATATCAAAAATCAATATATAGTCATATTATTTTCTATTTGGTTAATTTATTGTCGAAGGTGCTGAGTATTGTTGGCATTCTAATAGTATTTTGCTTGTTAATTAGTTAGCTATTTGACTTTATTGAATAGAAATTTAGCTAGTTGAATATTTATTCAACAAATAGAATGTTCGCGGAATGCTGACAATAGTTAGCATACATTTAATAATCAATTAATAAAACTGGAAATAATATTACTATGTTGTTTTTTGACTTTGACTAGTATATATATTTTACATATCACACATACGACATTATTGCAGGAGTTCGCAAGTCCCATGTGATAAAAATTCATTTTAATATAAATGCTAATAAATAATTTTGTTAAAATTTTTTTAATCAAATAGTAATTTTGTGCGAGATATAATCATCTCGCACAAGAGCACAGGTACAATAGTTTTGCTATTTTACGCGAGGTAATTTAAGGTTCTGACAAATAATTAGAATTATGTCAACACTATAGTTTAAGAGAGATCTAAAACGTTTGTATCGAATTAATTTCCAGAAAAAATACCATAACTGCTAGATACAAAACTCGAGTCCTTTTCATTTTACCAATTTTAAAACCTATAATTAGACCCACAGGTCTCTTGTATGAGTGTAGGTCTGATAATTGAGAGGTTTATTCTATTAGTTTTTTCCCCAGGCCTTTTACAATTTACCAAAACTTTATCCCATATTGTAGACCCGGGTATATTACATAGGGTCAGATATCTGGAAGGGTCTTGTATCTGGCAGTTTGCAGTAGATGATTTAGCACATTTTGAAAAGGTATTTTTTTTTGGTTATGTAGTTTTTTAATAGATGTAATTATCTAGTATCATATTTAAAAAATTTTTTTGCAAATTTCAAAAATTATAATAAAAAAATTGAGCTGCATATTTGCATAATTAAGTTTGTCTTTATTACAAAATATTTTCAAAAATACACATGATCTTTATTAATTTTGAAAATTATAAAATATTTGCATTAAAATAGCAGAAAATAAATTACAAAATATATCGCTGTTTTATGATGATGTATCTTTGATCAAATTTTGCAGATCGCCACTCATATATACAATTATTTGATTGTTTTCTAATTGTGTGAGAATGTGAGTGTGCTTTGAGGATATGGATATAAAAAGTTATAAATTATAAAATATTTTATTTGTGTCAAGTTTTTGATTAAGAAAGTCACTTTACAATTGCACAATCGAAACAACAATCAAGTGATTGTAATATAAGCTGTGATCTACAAAATTTGATCAAAAATCACTTTACCTGTTACTATTACACAATCGAAATGACAATCAAGTGATTGTAATGAAAGCTGCGATCTACAAAATTTGATCAAAATACATCATTGTGCGATAATTTGAAACTTTAGAAAGTTTTACCAGCACTAGCACTACTTAAAAAATCATGCTTTTTAAAAACATGCATTATTTTGAAATAATATCTGACAATAAAGCACATTTCATGGTTAAATAGTGTTAGATTAGCCAATCAACCTATGACAAAAATTGGTCTTTACCTCAACGCATATGTACATACTCACGATGATACACATATGCTTATTGCGCTTTGCAAAATTCGGTGACCCTCCTTGATTACTAATATTTATAAAATAATCATGATTGCAATTATAATCACAATCACAATCATGATTATTTTGTAAATAATAGTAATCAAGGGGATTACTGAATTTTGCAAAATGCAATAAAATGACGTGTAGGTGGCGTTATTATGCGAAGGTATAGCATATCAAAATTTTGAAACAATTAGGAAAAAAAAAATTATTTTGTTAGATACAAATAATTGAAGTCATAATTGGATAATACAGTACTTAGCTTGAGAGATTGTTATTGATTATGAAACAGAAGACAATAATTAGACAATAGTGATGAATTGGGAAATGCTAAAATGAAAAATGAATCATGTAATAAATAAATAGTAGTAATAATAAATTGAAAGTTATAAAAGGAGAGGTTTTAAGAATCAGCTTGCTAACAAATTAGAAATAGGGTTGTTAAATTTTGTGCTTGAAAACTTAAATAAAGAACAAATAATAAAATAATATTCTAACCTTTGATTTAGATAACATAGCCAGCATTTCGTTTATAAATCGAACTTTTCATATTCATTTTGCTATTATATATTTTGTTGTAACAAGCTATCATAAAAACATTTTAAATAAATTGAGATATAAATTTACTTACATAGATCTTGAGGAATGCAATGTCTTTGAAGAAAATAATGAAACGGAAACGTTTGAATTGCCCTAGCAAATGCTCAAGCCTTATTAAATGATGATGAAAATGATGATATAGACTGGAATAAAACCATAATAAAAGATCCTCACCTTTATGATGAACCTTTACCAACGATGTATGATGAAATAGATGTGATTGTTGAAAATTCGTCAGTGCAGAATTCAAATTTAACACCATGTGTAATTATTGATATCACCGAAGGTGAGATAAAATGCTACAATAATATGATAAATCTACGTCGATTAGAGCAATTAGTAAGAATATGGGAAATAGATACAAGCGTAGCTGAGAATATTGAAAGTAATCAACTTGGAGTGTGCTATTCTTATTTTATTTTTGATCAGAACAGGTTTCATGATCAACACAATAAACAAACACGTTCAATTAATCAGAGTAATTTTCACTTTCATTTCTGCCTTTTTTGTTACAAAAAAAAATGTTTTTTTAGTCGTGGTAACTGTTGTGAAAAACATTTATAGAAAATTAATGGCCATAATATTTAAGTACCTTGTGCTGGTCTTTTTAAATGTCCTGTATTCATTGAAGGATTTATTACACAAAAATCATCTTCAAGCCTTAATGCATGCTATATATGCTCAAAATGTTTCCATCAAGAGGGCGGTTATTTTCATGAAAGAATTAAAAAAAGTCCAAAAATTCCACCATGTACCGAAAGTGAAAAACATCATAATAATACAAGTAATACATTAAAGTACATAGGAAAATGGCTAATATCAGTAGCAGAATCAGACAACCAAATGTTGCAAGAAAGACTTCTATCCTTGATAACTCCAGTATTAACTGTTTTTAATGATCAATCAAATCAAAGTCTATTAGAAATCGAAACAGAAAAACTTCCTAGCAAATTCGTTGTTAAAACAGCAATAAAATTAGAAAAAAGTGAATTAAAAGAAATGCCTTACATAGTAACTTCAGAAAAGGCTTCGAAGATGGATGAAAAATTGGGAAAAAAAATTTTATCTTCATATTCTAAAATTAAAAAAAATATTGACCAATTAGAAAACCCGAGTTTATATGAAAATTATTTTAATTTATTGTCTGCTACTATTTGCGTCTTTTTTCAAGCCCTCATCACGATACTACAATAGCGAAAGCAAAATATTGTTAACAAAAAAAGACATCAGCGTGGGCTTTTTCTAAAATTGCTTGACACAAATCAAATTTCAAAATCTGTCGCTTTATTAACCTCCATGCTACTAAATATTGCTTTCCCTGGATTAAAAATATGGCTTACACATATAATGTTATCAATTTGCCAAAACCCAAAATTACTACCATACTTGCAAGAGATTCTTCATTCAGCCTCTATTATATTTTATACTAAATGGTATGAAAATCGTCTTCAAGAATCCAGAATTCGCAATGTAAACCCTAGAAATAATTTGATAAAAGGGCCAAATATTTGGAATTTGGCAGTGATTGACAATATTAACTTCAAAGCATTCACCTTCTCATATGATAATATCTTCGAAACTACACGGAAAACTTCACACACAACGTTACAAATAGTATTTCAATTTGCACTTTCTACTTCTCTTAATAACCTAATTGGAGACAATAATTTTATCGATCAACTACTATTTAGAGAATCTTCAACTACCAACAATCTTTTAATAATGTATGAAAATATTTTAAATACAATGTTAGAAACTCGAATAAATGATTTTGATATGGAAGATGTGCATTTAGAAATTACTAAAAAAATACCTATAGGTTGCAATATTACACCTCCAAATCTCTTAATATTAAAACCTGGTGATCTACCCAATTGTGATGACAATGTTTATGCGGCATGTGAAATATACTAAATCTTAATAGTAATAGTCATCTATATATGTATGTGACCAAGCTATCTTTGAAAGATTAATCTCCTATAAAGAAACTTACGATGATGTTCGACTTCTTTTAGAACAGTGGCACACATCTAAAAACATGTATAGTACTTTGATTAAAATATTCTCAGGATTTGGAATATTCAATCTTGCAGCAACACTTGGTGTGCAATACTTAGACAAATTTGAACGTGTTGTCAATTATTGAGTAACATGCCATGTTTTGGAATTAATCTGAATTGCAGTTGGAATTGCATTGTGTCAGTATGTAAAAGGCAAAAATAAAACTATGAATGATATTTTAAATTGTAATAATTAATTGGTGAAAGTTTGGTATCTTTTCTTCTGTTGGACAAGATACTTTGTAGGACATAAAATTGGAATTAGAAAGAGAGACTACAGAATGAAGATAGCAAATTTGGCTGCATTTGCACCTCTTTTTTTTGCAGCAGGAAAGTTTAAATATGCAACTGCTATGGCGCATTTTTTGGCTCAAATTCGTGATGACCCACAACTACAAAAATTATTACAAGATGTATATTCGATAAACATTACTAGAGAAGAACATTATTTAGCTTTTGATGAAACACTCGAAACTTACGGTGTAAAATTCATCAAACAAAACCTTACTGGAAATCTTATTGATCAGCCAATTATAATGTTAAAAATTAAGCCTGTCCAAAGTGAGAGAAATAGATTATCAATGCTTCTTGCAGAATATACTAATAACATCGTGGCTAGTCAAAGTACTCGTGTGGTCAAATCACGTAAAGATTTGCTTTGGTTCTTGGTTACAAAATTATTATCTGCCTTTAACTATCCAAATCCCGCTACATATTATTTATTTGAAAATACACCAGAAATAAGTGAAAATGGTATTAAAAATATTCTTTCTTTTTACGAAATGGGTAAATTATGATTTTAAAAAGTACTTAACCAAGATGTGTACAAAATTGAGCTCCGAGTAGCTTCTGGACGTCATGCGACAAATGTAAATACCTATACTTATGCTCGACTTGAAAGTATTAAAGAACAAATGAGTAAACCAGGCAATATTGTTTAAGAATCAACTACCTAACAGGCCATATTGGCTCCATTATCTGAAACTAGCCTCCCAAAACCTATATGTCATACTACTACAGAGGCAGAAAAAACTATACTTGCTCAATTACTTGATTATGAAAAAAACTTGCCTAAAACTGCAGTCACAAAGGTTTATTGGGAACTTCAATCCATTTCTTTGGACTGGACAACTGAAAGAATTAAGCTATATTGGAGAAATAACCATAAAAAATAAGATAATAATATCAGATCTTATTGTAGATTTTTATTTGTAATAACCAAATTATATAATAAGTTTTTATAATTCTAATAATTCTCGAACCCGTGCATATTGTTAATAGTTAATTGATAGTTAGAACCTAATTTGACCAAATTTTTGCTTAACTTGATATTTGTTAACATAATATTTCAGAGATCTATAAAAAAAATAAAATTTTATATATAAAAAATGAATACTCATAAGTATACTTCTAAAAGTTCTAAGTAAAGCTAATTTGTACTAATAAGATACTTTGAAGTGCTTGTTGTTTACAACCTTTTACAATGCAAAATTTCTTGAAAACAGATGAAGCTGGAGGAAGATCTTGGCTCTTATATAAAAAAATACCATTTTTCAGACCCGATTTTTGCTAGTATATAGTTATTAAACATATATGTTTTTTAATATGAAATAAAAGGTTAAATCGTAAATTTTATATCTTATTAAAGATGAAATATTTATTTTTTATTTGTTATTTAAAGTACTTTTATTAAAAACTTCGACGTCATATATTACACGATATCGATTTACTATTAAAGATCGTCAAGGGGGACATGTTCTATGACTGTTATGCTTAAAAACAAAGTAATTTCAAAAAAGAGCATATGTGAAGTGACTCCGGGCCTTGTGAAAGGTTGAGCAGAGTTCACATACACAGCAGGCAGGTGGTGAAACTCTGGGCCTTGTAAAAGGTTGAGCGAAGTTCTGAGCACAAACCTGACTCTTTAATGAAACGGAAAAATACTTATCTGCCTTTCGAGTTTGAGAAAAAATAAATTTTTAACTCTAAAAATTTTCATTAGTACAGTAGTTCACAGGTTCACAGGCAGTATTAATTGATCATTTGCTGATCAAAAATGAATTTCTAATTAGAGAGAATTTCTGTTCATAATTAAGATGCGTTCTGCTTTTTATTCAAAACTCATTATGGAAAAGTCAACACCTCTGCATTTCTACGATCTTATTAAGGATTTTGAGTTTGATTATTTAAATACGTTATCAGAGAAAGCATGGAAAGATCTGGAAAAAGCCTATACTTGTCATCTTAATATAGTAGAATAGACAGAAGCCATAAAAAAACTAAAGCAAATATGGGAGATACGTTTTTTCTATTTTGTTTACCTGTAATAAATTTAAAATAACTTATTTTTGATTATATAGACAACAAAGAAGCATTTTTAGAATGGTTTTATCGATATTTATTTACAAATGCGTGAAAAACTTGTGAAAATAAGTTATAAATAATATTACGTTTACTAAAGAGAGCCTCCTCACAAGTTTAGAAAACTAATAAGTTTGCGAATTTGATTATAGAGAAAAGTACAAGCTAATTCTCATAAAGTTGCATGTCATGCTATATTTGCTAATATGGAGAAAGTTAAAAAAATATCATATCATGGACAAAAACTACAACAAATGATAATAGTCAAAATCCATTTTATATTTCGGGAGTATGTATTAATATTATTTGCTAGTCTTAATGTTTATATCTAGAAAGCTATACGCGACATTTTTCTTAATAGAGCTCAATCTTAATGAAGGAGGATGAGGCTATAGTTAATGATAATGGAAGAAAAAGGAAGTTGAAAAACTATGAATCAATCCGAACTCCAAAAAATAATATAGTGGTATTCTTCATTGTGTTTTCATCTCATCATTCACAATAAAATAAATTTATATTTCCTTTTATTATTTAGATCTTGAATGATAATGAAGGCAATGAACAAAAAGAATTTGCACTTTCAATTGAGAGTAATAAGTAAAGAAATTATAACAGTGACATTTTATCAGCCGGTAGCACGATGGTACGAATGCCTAATATTTCAATGGAAATCTTTTTTTTATTTTTTCTAAAGATCTGTGAATTATAAGTATCTTCAGAAGATATCAATAATATTCTAGAAAATATTAAAGCTAATTATAAAGAAAAAGATGAGTTAACTGACAATGATGTTGAAAGAAGGTATGGCAATGAAAATCAGATGGACAGGAATTTTCTTAGCGAACATCATTATTAACACAAAGGCCAAAAATAGTGCAATTTCTGAAACATTGATCGAAGACATCTATAATGGGAAAAAAAGATTATTAATATAGATACACAAGTGCGGGGTAACGTATAAACAAATTAATTAGGCTATTGTGATACTGATATCTTATTTTTGAAAAAAATTACAGGTACGTTGTTTGTTTTGGGAGAATTAGCCGGAGGCTAGCAAATGCCTAATTTTTTTATTAGTTATTGCGATTTATTACTAAAGGCAATTACAAAGTAGCTAGAATAACTTATTGTTTTATTAGCCATGCCCTCTTTGGAGATATTATTACAGAGAAAATGGTAGAGGAGTATATTAAAGATTTTTGAATCCTTTTTATACAAGATTAAGATTTCATGTCTTAGAATCTGATTCGTTGTCTCTGTCAGTAAAGGCCAGAACATATTAGAAAAAAAATGTTAATTACGTTATTATCGCGTTATTATTGATTTATCATCAAAAACATGGACATAAATTCTGATTTTGAGAATGGGAACCTGGATCTAAAAACTTAAAAATACACGGTCCGGGTAACATTGAGTAAGATAAGTGATATTTATTAGCTAAAGGGTTGCTTACGCTAAAGCTAGTATATCTGATGAATATTTACAATTACAATGCTAACCATCATATTAAAATCTCACCAATATACACATATATGTGGATTTTTATATAATTAATAACTGACTTCTGAAATAACATTAGGGTGATACATGATCTTATTTAGAATTTGACTTTCATAATGCTACTCATAATGCTACTCAATTTTTGGTTAAGTATCGGATATAATTTTACTACTCCAAGTATATTTAGTGGTAAAGTCATATATAATTGATCATTGACAAATTTATCCTATTTTATTAGTAAAAGTAGCAAGACTAACATATTATTCCTTATATTATAGAAACTTCAATATATAGACCAAGTACTACGTATATGCTACTGAGAATATGCTAGAAAGTTTGAGCAAAAACATGATAAGTTCAGGTATTATTTTATGGCGATCAATCGATTCATCCAAGACACGCATGGTATTAGCAGTGCATGTGACTTAATAGGATCGTAACCCAGACTAAGATTTGCTTATGTTGGATTTATATATAACATCGCTCCCTGAGGCCCATAGGGGTGACTTAGAGAGTTATAGGCTTTGCCCTATAACATGATGAGATTTGTATCAGAAATACTAGCTTCATTATGCGAAGCATGGGCAAGGCTCTATAAAGCTCGATATTTAACTTTATCTTTTGCTTTATACTTTAGAATGGGGCATTTCATATATATAACTTCTATTCCTGAACTAGATGTGGAATCAACATTTGAAGTACTCGAATCAGAAGTTGTAGAGATATTTGATCTGCGATACAATGAATCTTTTGATTTCCCAGGAAGTATTTTGTAAAAATCATGAATATCTTTTTTATTAACCAATATTATAGCCCTTGGCTTTTTTTGGTTTTTGATACTTCAGATCCGTTGAGATCTTTAATATGCAGAGTTGTTCTTACAAAAGCATCTTCTGTGTCGATTACAATTTCAAGTATATATGTTTGAAGTTTATCGTTATTATACTTTTTACTATAAAACTAATTATTACCCAGTAAAATATAGTTTGGTGTTTTAGGGTTAGATTTTTCTATGAGTATTTCAGTTGGAATCGTGCTAGATTTTTTATTACTAAGACAGGCATTATTTTTTATATTAGAGATAAATGTAGGTGGGATTATAGTCAATCCAAGTGGAGCTATAGTTTCTTCTCTAATGAATTTACTATCTTTTTCTTCAGGAGTCAACTTTCTGCTAATTATGCTACCGATTTTCTTGAGAAGTTTATTACTACACATAGAGATCCCCAAAAATCCTGATTCAGGTGACAATTAACTTTTTGTATTCTTACTTTAGCTTTGACTATCTTCACTTTCATGATAACAATTTATATTATATATTATATATCTTTAGCTGAAAAAAGTTAACAATTAATTATCTGTTCTAAACTTCTTGCTATAAAATTTCCTAAAAGATACTATTAAATAAATTATTCCATTCTGGGTTAGTCATTCCTGATGATATTCTGATATAATTACTGAATGCAGAAATAAAATCACTTTCATCAATTATACTGGTAAAAATTGGATTAGATAGAGGCAGATATGAGCTCATAGGATTCTCTTCTAGATTCTGTTTATTAGATGTGTTTTCACCCCGCTCTGTGTGTTGCCATTGGATCAGAATCAGAAGTATCAGATGATTCAGAATTGGACCATTCATATGATGAATCATAATTTTCAATATGTATACTTGGATTAAGTCATTTTACAACTTTCTTACTAATATTTTTTTTACAGCCATCCAAATCAAAATATTTTAAATTAGGACATGAACAGGCTATTTCTTTAATAGTTTTATCAGAAATGTCACAAAATCCAAGTTCAAGATGCTGAAGTTTGGGACATGATCGAATAATATTATATACCAATAGTTTGGTAATGAATTCACACCCTCCAAGATCAAGATATTCCAATTCATGGTATGTACTAGCTACTGCTTCAACAACCTCATCTCTGATATCGTTACTAGAAATATTAAAATATTTTAAATTTGGAGAAGATCTAATAATAGCTACAATAAGAGAATTATTTCGAAAAGCTATAACATGGGCGAAATCAAGGTACTCTAATTTGAAGTGTATTTGTAGTAATATACTAGCATCTTTGATTTTTTCTCAACTACTCCATATATCTAAATATCGTAAATTAGAGCATAAGTTTAAAATACAACTTATAGTTCTATCAGTAATCCAATACGCTTCATTAAAATAAAATTCTCTCAAATTATGGCATGACTTTGTAATTTTTATTAATGATTTGTCAGTAATACTATTACAATAAGAAATATTTAGATATTTCAATTTATTGCATGATTGTGCAATTTGACATAGTTCTTCATCAGTTATTATTCGATTATCTTATAAATTAAGATGTTTTAAATTTGGATATAATGAAGCTATTTTAATTAATGTCTTATTACTAATGCCCACACTACTTTTAAAATCTAAATGAATTACATTCAGGCAGTAATTTACAATAGATCTAATTATTTTATGTATAATCGAATGATAATATGAAATTTTTAAGCTTTTCAGGCTTGAGGCATTGACAGGTTTTTTTTTCTTGCATATTAGCTTTATGAAACTTTCTAACCATGTTTGATATTATTCACAATAATTATATTCAACTGGAAAATAATGTTCGTAATAAATATCATTACCTTTTAACTCAACTCTCCCCTATAGTAGTGGTATATCACACTTGTACCAAAGCTGATTAATAAACAAAGCAGGATAGAGAGATCGATCAATTTCTAAAAAATATAAGATCTGTTTTAGTAATTCAGGTAAGTTAAAAATATTTAGTTGCATCATTCCCAAATAATGTATATCTCTAATCGAAAAAAACCAATGTTTGGATAATTAATTTGGGCACATACAGTATACTACACATTTTTAAATTTGTATTAATAAAATAATTTAACATTTACAATAACCAAAACTGATAAAGCCATATCCCATATCACTAAACAGGTTTAGATAAAAATATTTTTTATAATTATTGATTGCAGAGATAAAATCTGTTCTATCTAATGATGGAGCTTATTCATATTTTGATAAACTCTTTGGGTCATTGCTTCACAATAATATCGATTTTTGGCTTGCTTCATAAATGATTCACCAGGTCTATAAAGCCATTTAATTACTGCATACTGGATTACTTTAGCCAAATTTATTCGTTTTTTCTATAAATAATATGCTTGCTAGATAATAATCACTGATCGATTTTTTTTATACAAAGTTACAAAATATATTACTTGAATTTTAAATTCTTTAAATTTATAGTGATTAGCTACAGATTCATTTCTGGTTAGATTATTTTTAATACAAAATACAAAGTTTTCCCAATAGTCTTTACTAATAATATCATATCCTGGTATTAATAAACGTCTATGTATATATTTGGGCAGATGATACTTTGCAAATCGTAACCAAGCTTTTGGCATTTTAAAATTATTAATATACAGTCAACTCTGTTTATAACGAACTAACGAGTCTTATAGTAAAAATTTTTAAAAATTCGTTATATAGTAATTTGCTATATTTTTTATATCAAACTTATATTAAATTTGAAAAAAAAGTTCATTATATAGTGTGTTTATTATAAAAAGGTTCATTATATCTAGAGTTAACTGTAGTTTAAATCATATTTGGTTAACATGTATTGGATATAATTATTTTTTGTCTATTCTTTACAAATATCTTGAATATTGGGCATGTTTATATTTTAATTTTATTAACTAAGACTCTTTATTTAATAAGTATGAGCCAGGATCACTAGATCTTTGGTGGTAGTTGCAGATGATTTTTAGCTTATAGGTAAGTGCGGTTAGTGAGTTGGTTTGCATATATAACTTTATTTAAAAATATCTAATAAGTCTAATTATTGTAAAGCAGGTCCAAAGTGATAAAGCTAGGTTATAGTAAATGAATAAATAAGTTATTAACTAATCTAAATACTCTCATATAAGTCATAGATATCCTCAATTTTAGAAGTATTCTTATTAATTGCCTTGGGTGTGGAAGCTAAGTTTCAGGTTCAGGTTCAGGATCTGAGTCAAGGTCAAAATCGAAAGTATCACCCTTGGCATAATACATTCCAGAATTATAACAATCTATCTTATGTCTCATTGCAACTTTGCTAAGGAATTCAAGATGTTGTGAAGTTGGATTTTAACTACCATGAACTCTAGAAGCATATTTATCTTCAATTTTTCTTAATCTTTTGACTGTAATACTATATGATTTTAAAAATTTACTAAATACTTCTGTACTGTGTTTTTCATTAATACTATAAACAGAATTGCATAACTTTCTAGTTACTATTGCATCTTGGATTCAGATAAGCAATTTTTTTGTATATTCTTTTCTATGGATAGAAATTGTTCAGGTTTAGGATTATTTTTTGCTTCTTCTTTATTTTTAATATACCTAATACAATACCAAGAATAACCAGGCTTGTACTATTCAGGAGGATTCGATTTACCAGGTTCATAATAGATAATACAAAGAGTGACAACTTCGGTGAGTCTTATACTCTACATTATAATTACATTTGCAAGATCTTGCATAGTAGAGATTTTAGTAGTATTGATATTTTGAATTCTTCTAAGTCTTTCTTCTAAGAAAAAGTGTTTGGGAGTTTTAGGTAGATTGGGTAATCGCTGTTCAAGTTGCCTCTTTTGAATTTTGTTAGAAGCTTGAGTAACTTCTGGTAATTTGGCATATATTAGAACCAACCCCAGCTTCTGCTAACTCTCTACGAAATTGTGAAACACGAGAACTGGCTACCACAATTGCTTCATTTGTATTATTTTTTGGCATAGTTAAGTCTAAAGCATGGAAACAAATATCCCACACATCTTTAGTTTTTGTACAATATTGAGCTCTTTCCTTGATAGTAAGCATTTTCTTTTTATTGTTTGGAACCAAAGCTCTTATTTGATTTTCTTTAAATAAACACTAATAGAGAGCCTCTTTCACATCTTTACAAGCCTTTCAATCCAGTAGCATAGTACTAAGCTCATTAGCATGAGCATGTAATTGAAGCAGGTTTGATTTAGCTGATAGGTTATATTTATTAAGGACCTGATCCAAAATGAAGGTAAAGCTATTAGTTTTGGGTTTTCTAGTTTTTCGAACAGTTGTTATGATAGATATGTAAATAATCTATATCGATAAATAGAATATAATTATACATTAATCTACTTATTTTTTTCAATTCGAAATTAATTATGCTTTTTCCTTCTATACCCAGAAAAAAGAGGTTATGTACTTGCATAAGCAAGACTAGGATGTTAATTTGAAATTTAATAATATATAGAATATAATGAAAAAAAATTATATAGCAACTCAGGCTATATTAAGGTTTATGATTCATTTTTATTTTCTATTGCAGTGTTCTCGCTATAGCAAGTATATGTTCTGGACCTAGAGCATTTGCTTTACTGAATACATCATACAAAGCATTCAGTTTATTAGAGCTTTGACCCGGGTAAGAAAATGATGACCCGGGTGGGTCAGATATTTATCCGGGTCAACAGGTCCTGCGGACAATTATAAAGTTTTTTGAGGTTAATCGCTCTTTCAATTACTAAATTAGGGTAACAATTGAATTTTATGAATCTATGACGTACAGTAAAAAACAATGGAATGCAGAATCATAAATTCGATTGTCTCCCTAATTTGAAAAGATCGATAAAGCCGTTTCAACTAATAGATAAGTGAGTTCTCTTTAAATAGAAATCATACGCCAAGAACTATCGTTTATATAATAACAATTTAAAGCTAAATAATAAGTGCGTTTTCTTTAAATAGAAATCATATACAAAGAACTATCATTTATATAATAAAGTATTTATAGCGCTTTGCAAAAATGTGATTTTAGTGATGCTGATGGCTGAGAATTACTAAGATTCCAGATTACCCGTAACTTTATATTTTCGATTTGTTAGTTTATATTTCTTTGAAATCAGTTTAATTCTTAAAATCTCCAAAAAATATATAAAATCTCCGATTCTCATATGAAAAATGATATGTGGTGTTCACATCTTTTTGCAAAGTGCAATAAGAACAATTTAAAGCTAAATAATCTAGAATGACAAAATTATCTTTAGAATGTGAATACTTACTATATAGCAAAATTTCTTTGTCAGTTCTAATCAAATTTGGTTTTAGCACGTCACGAAATAACTAAAGCCAAGTGAATTGGGCTAAATTAGATAAGCATAAAGCATC